AATAGCTCTACGCTTTCTAAATTTGTGATATTTTATGCTTTTAATTCACTCATTAACATCTAGTCGTTCGTAATTTCTAGCTGACATCTCGGCGAGACTCATGCAACTTTCTTAGACTAGTCGATTGCTAAATGCGTGAAATTTGGCAATTTATCCATATATCTTTGTATAAATGCCATAAAGATTCGAACAAAAAATTATTCAAAAAAATAACGATAAATATTAACAATAAGAAACAATTATTTGGTAATCTTTCGAGAAATTTTGCGATTGTTTAGATAATAACTGAAAAGAAACAGGAAAATTTATATTGCATTGAAAATTTTTAATTTTTTAAAGTGTTTCACATTTTTAAGAGATACGAAAATTTTGCTCATCGTAAATATTTTGGAAAACAATTATTATTACCATTTGTAGATATATATTAACGTCAACATGAAAATAAATATAAGTATTAAAATTTGATACAAAATATATTATTATATTGTTATAAATTAACAATGTTAAAACTATTAATTAACATAAAAGTATTTGAAAAAAACATCAATACTGACAAAAATAATTAGTAACATTTAGTAATCTTCCGAGAAACGATATTTTACAATTATGCAATAACTGAAAAGAAACAATAAAATTTATATTACATTGAAAATTCAACTTTTTTGTTCTCTTTTAAATTGTTCTATATCCAGTACAAAATTTTCGTTCGTGAATATTTTAAAACAATTCTCTTCCATTTGTAAATATATATTGATATGAATATTAAAACAAATATAATAAAAATTTGATATTAAATACTAATTAATTAGTACTTATATTATATATGGACATAAATTAAAAATAATAAATATATTAATTAATATAAATATTATGACATAAAAAATTCTGTCTATTCTCTATGTTAGAGAATTTGGATTTAAACATTTTGGCCGAAACATTTTTTTTAAATTAAATATTTTTTTTTAAATTGATAAAAGTGCGATGTTTACAAGTAAGATCCCTAATTATCTAATTAATATAGATGAGTTGATGTTTTTTATCATATTCTACTTTGACATAGATAACAAAAAGTTATATTATTACCTAATAGGTTTATATTATTAACTATATTTGTCAATAATTGAGAGTATCTTTTTTTCTTTCCTATGCATGTCTCCAAAAAACCTATAAAAAAACTCAAATACATATAAAGAGGTGGACAAAACCTACAAGGATTTTGTAGCATCATAGAGAAAAAGAAGAATATAAATCTAAAAATGAATAGATTTTACACTAAACGCAACGTTAAACAAAATTATACGTAATATATACAAGTCGCAATCGATAATCATCTCGCGTAATTGTTACTCGAGAATCACGCACGCGATATCATGGATACCTTTGTAATTATGTACTTCCTGACAAAAAATTCCTATACCGTATTATTTGTTACACTTACTTACTTTGTTTACTATTCACTATAAACTACTAATTTATCTTTAATAACCTATCGGAGACATTATTTTTGCTCAACAGATAGAATTTCTCTATAGACTTTTACTGTAAAATAACCGATTCGCGGATTGGTTTTGATTGCCGATTCTATAATAAATGTCTATAAAGTTGTAAGTTATATTCTGCGGTCGAAATCACTGAATCATCGACAAATCTTGGCAGATCTCAGTAATCATTATGCTGGTAATATTAAAGCAAATACCACGAAGATGGGCGTGATCACGATAGATCGAACACGAGCCTTTCTTTCCAACGAAGTCCGTGAGAAGCGATTCCACACTTTATCCTCTCGCTGATATAAATGTATATATATCGGTGAAAATCCTTCGAACTTTAAAATAATTATTCAAAACGCGCGATCAATCGCGATATCTTAGCAAGGAAAATCAATTCGATAAGCCAAGTAATATATGGTTTCTCTTCTAAATAAAAAGATTCCGCACAATCCTTATGAAAATTGGATTTCAATGGAACTGCCTGATTTTTTCATGTTGTAGTTTATAATCTGCTGAACAAAAGATGTAATGACCTCAAAACTAAATAATGGACAATTATTGATTTATTACTTATTTAGCTTTGAACCTATTACATTTTTGTTCAGCAGATTATAAACAGATCATATAACCAACCAATTCCATCGAAATTCAATTTCCATAAGAACTGTGCAGTTTTTTTTAAAGAAAATATCAATTCCGAACATTGTACACATTTGAAAAAAATTTGAAGGAAAAATCGTGGAAAAATCTGAATGAACATCTGTCATTTCCTTATAGACAGACTTGTTAGATCTCAGGTGTGTTAAATGTTTTATTTCTTCCAATGCATTAGTTAAAACTTTGCGTCGCGACTTACAAAAGCAAATTTGCATTTTTTTTACCGGGCGTTAATCGCATTATCGGCATTGTACTAATGTATCTCACTTTCGATCGTAAAGAACGCACTTGACGCGACCTCTCCATCGATCGCTTCTTCTTGCAATCGTGACGCGACGTGAAAATTTAGAGAAATCTCCACCGTGGAAATCACCACCGTGAACGTAATAACGAGCTGAAAGCTGTGGCGTCGGCTGCGTTTTTGCGCCGAACGGGCAGTTTAATAATTAAACGAGAAATCCGTCGTCATCGATACGGATCGAATCACTTTCCTCGCTCCTCGAAAAATTAGCAGGACCATCGACGCGATTTCTCCATAACGACTATCTGTAGTCAAGATAGGATGATTGTTAGACGATCGATAATTGCGCGTTTACAGCTGTATTTTGAAAAAATTGTTCCGATAACAACGATAAAAGTACTCTTTTTACTATTCTTTCTTTATAATTACATTTGTTCGACACACTTACCTTGGATTCTGTGCAATCAAATTGCTGTGATCGCCATCGATCAAATTGACAATCTATCGATGACAAGATCGGTGCTAATTTTCATTTTATCATTAGAAATTTCAAATGTTGTGAAAAAGAAGCAGTTAATGTACAAGGTTATTCGAAATAATTTATCCGATTTCAAAGAATTATATTTTTGAAGTTTACATAGTGATTGATGATACATCAACTAAAAAGAATTATCTCAATTTTGTCTCTCATTTTATAAATGCTCAAAATGATTTTCGTTAGTTACACGAACAATGTCGAGACGATAAAATTCCTCCCACACTTTAATGACATCACCGTTATTACTGATTCTACAACTGTAACAATGCGATTTTTTAACTAATCCAGGATTAGGTTAATTAATTAAAAAATTGCACGTTACTTATGTAACTAAGGTAAATCACATTGAGCATTGATAAGATAAGAGACAAGAGAACTTTACCTATTTTTAAAAAATATTTTTAAAGAATATCTGGAGCTCCCGAACCCAGGTATAAGACTATGAAACATATATCAAATTGTAAGGCATCATGAGAGTATTAATAATTTATAGGTGCTAATTTCCAAAACACCCGTTGATATATAAAGCGTATATTTAATTTATTATTTATGCTCACACGATGCTTTTACGCTTGCAATAAACTAATGATTTTTTATTTTATAGTTGAACATGACTTCCAGAATTCATGTTTTTGTATTTATCCTTTTTTCAAAATTTTTTTTTATGTGCAAAGTCTTTACTTCGTGGAGATGTTTTAAACGTAAAAATGATGCTCGTAGGCTATTGTTCCCATATCATGTCGGTTATTTAATATCTATAATAGGATATACTAAATACCTTTTAGAAGGTATACAGATATTCTTTGAGCACAGTAACGATGCATTTATTATCTCGGACATCTTTGATAATGAGCCATCAAAAGAATAAATGACATCTTTAAAAGATCAGGACTAATTCCGGCGTGGGTTTAAAGATTCAAAATTATTTTTTTAAATACTACTATTATTATCTATAAAATTATACAGGATGTAACTAAACAAAAGTATAAGAATAACACTATCAGGTGTAGGACAACAAATTAAATCGAAAAATCCTGAACCATTTTTTAATTTGAGCTTTATGTTTGACACTATAAATTGTTAAAGTTTGCCAATTAGCGCGAGGCTACAACGGAAAATAACGTAGGCGTCGTCTTAATAGGCCTTAGTACGCCTACCAAGGTGGCACCTACGCTATTTTCCGTTGTAGCCACGCGCTAATTGGCAAACTTTAACAATTTATAGCGTCAAAATAAAGCTCAGATTAACAACGATTCAGGATTTTTCGATTTAATTTGTCGTCTTACACCTGATGGTATGTTTCTTAAAGTAATGGTCGCATTAGACTACATCGCCGATGGGACCAGGAGGGGGGTACCCCTACGCTCAATTTTCCATGTTGGAGGGTTAGGACGGCTTATTCTGTGAACCTCTGCTTAGTGGTCGCGTCGAACTTGTGATGGAGAGAACGATAGAGCAACGCTATGCGATAAAGTTTTGCGTGAAGCTGGACAAGAAAACTAAATGCTCAAGAAAGTTAACGGCTGAACGGACAACAGCTCGAGTCGGTTGACAGGATTGAACAGCATTCAAGGAGTTCCAGAAATCTTATGACGCATGGAAATCGCTTGGCAAAAATGTATTGACGCAGAAGGGTCATACTTCGAACAATTTTAAGTTGTATGCGATCAATAAATTCTGCGACGCATGGACAAACCTGTATACCTTTGTTTTGTTGTTACTCTTATATGTTTGATGACTAAGCCAGAGAGAGGGAACCAAAATGGAGAAAGTTCTTTGAAAGTTTTTGGTTGATGTATCACTGATCACTAGGTAGTTATAAACTTTAAAAATATAATCATTTGAAATCAAATAAATCATTTTAAATAATCCTGTATATACATATAACATATGGAATATTCATCCTTTCACGTTAAAATATGCATGTCCGAGTATGCTTCTGTCAAAACAACGCTATAGAAATGATCCATTTTTCAATTTTATATCTATATTTTGTTTCTTCTCATAGATAAGTCAAATATATATATTTTACGACAATTTAATTCACGTCTACGGTATTTATCGGTAGTCTTACCTGCATCAAAGCCTCCGGCTGCAGATGCTTAAGGAATTCACCTTGCGGCTGATACATGCCGGAGGTCTGTCGTTGCTGATGTAGCTTCAGTTCAGCCTGCATCGCCGCGATCGATTCCGGCGTACAGGAGGCTCTGGCCTGAACCCAGGATGCCGCCAAAATAAAGCTACCAAGTACCACAGACATCGTAATCAAAGTAATGGCAGCGATCCTGGCGATCTGAACCGCAGTGCTTTTCGACGGTCTCATGTACGCCTGTGAAAAAGAAATTAATTTAATCAGAATTAATAATTTACATTAGAATATTTATCGTTACGAAAACGGAACTAAGGTGATGCTAGAGTTGACTCTGTCTGTAAAAATTTTACCGACAAAATGTTACTTATAATTTTATTTTTATTAAGAATTTAACAAGGCTCTGTAATATAAATATAAATATAAATTGAAAGTGTTAAACAAGCAATAAGAATCACATCGCGGATGACAGTGCGAATTTCAGCGACTTTCGGATCTATATTTTTCTCTCGCATTTATTTCCTTAAGGAGGGAACAGGGGATGTATGGAATTCAATTTCTTGTAGAAATTATTCCAATTTTAAAATCTTGGCCATGTCCAAGTAAAAATTTAGTGCCTTGTGCACAGGTTTTAATCCTAACGAAAAAAATTTAGTTTCGTTGGGATAACGCACTGTCATCCGCGATGTGGCTCTTATTGCCTGTTTAACACTCTCAATTTATTTTTATTTTTTATTGCTTTTATATATATATATATATATTAACTAAAAATTTTATGTACAATATCCGGGCACTTATTTATTACTCTTTTTTATGTTATTACTTTAATATTGTATATATTTTACTTACATAAATCTGACTTTTTTTATTTTTTAAGGCTAAGTCTCTAAAACCAATTTTAAAGATTTCCACTCCTAGGCTTATTTTGTACTTGCACAAACTGTGTAACTTTAATATAAAATAAATATTTATATCAACTGACAGCTTATCGGTAAATTTTCGAAGTTTATTTCCTTTTACTTTTAATCAAAGATGATTACACACATCCATGCCTTCATTAACATATGTACTTTAATCCCTAAGAAGGATTTTTAATTTTATAAAAGCAATAAAAAATAAACATAAAATTACAAATTAATATTTCGTCGGTAAACTAAAATAGGTAGCATTACCTTAATTTTTTTTATTATTAAAAATCAGCAATACGGATATAAATCCACTGTTTCTTGCTTTTAACATTAATAACATTTTAAAAACGACAATCACGAACAAGGAGAACGTCAAAGGAGAGTGCGAAACGACAAAAGGCCTCGACTCGGTTGGTTAACCAGCGTGAAGTCCTATGTATACTATTGTATGTGTGCGCATTGAGAAGAATATACCAACATCGTTCTGTGACAAAAGTGTAGGATAAAAATGTATTCGTTCATGTTTGTATATATGCATATGTATATATGCAAGTGATTTCGCGAACATGAACACGAACAAATTGCACTTTACCGTAGTTTCCCGCACCTAGTTGCAACATATAAAAGAGGGAGAAAGGTGATTATGTAAAATCTTGTATGTTAATTCATTTACAGCCGATTCAACTACAATAGATAATTCGTGAAAATGCAAACTTAGATTTTTCTTAATATTCTTAGAATTCTTCAAGTTACATTCATTTTTATTCTAAAAAATGCATCGTAAATGTACATCAATTCTCTTCAATTTACACACTTATAAATATATATATATATATTTTTTTTTTTATATAATATATATATTTTATATATATTTTATATAATATACATTTATACATATAAATTTATATATGTATAAATTTAAATAGTATATATATTTATAATATATTTATAATATATATATTTATAAATAGTATTTATATTTATATTATTTTATATAAATTGATATATTATATATACAATTGATGTATAATATCCACGACCAGTCACATCAATGACAAGTTTGCGTCTCATAATCGAGTAAATTAACGATACCTGAAGATAAAATACTGCGTCATCATTTAACTCCTTCAGAGAAGAAATAAGTACGATAAAATACATCTGACGCGTGCTAACTGTACCTTGACATTATTAAAGCGTGGCGCGAACCCGTTTTGACGCCCGACGCCTTTGTAGATCATATTCGCCGCTATTTTACGCGAAACTCATCAATCAAAGACGATCTGTGTGATTTCTATATTTTATATATTCATGAGTCGAACGAGATTGATCCGCACATCGCAATTCCTTATCACATCAATTTCGAAATAGGTAAAAAAATATTCCTAACAATCCATCCGCTTCTTTGCAATAACAAAATAGATCAGATATTTTTGACGTTGATACGTCATATAATTTTTTGGATACTCTCTTATATGAAAATTTCTTTTCCCATATGGAAGATGTGTGCAAGACTTGCACCACAGACTGTACTTGTACATACAATTCGTAATGACCTCGATGCGGATGGACGACTCGGGTGAGAGGCTTCCAAGAGATAGTAGGCCATCCGAGGCTGGCTTTATACCGCGCTATCTATCTGACAAAAGTAAACAGGTACTGTTGCCGTACTGCTGGGAGGCAAAAAAAATTATTATTTATTCTTCCAGACGAATCTCTCGTTTTATCTTCCGCTCATGAGTCATTGACACCCGTCGTGATGAGGAACAACGATTAATCGTCTGCTCCGACGATAAAACCGCGTTAGTGAAAACAGTCGTGATTTTATAAATTTAATCGAATTCGATAATAAACGATAATTTGTATAAATTGTATTGTGTAAAACGGTCAATCAAATTTTTATGTTTATATAATTAATGGAAAATATGGTCTCGATACTCTGGTAAATCATGAAGCACATCTTTAAAAATGACAATTAATTTGAAAAACTATATATAATTCCTATACGTCCTATGAGATCAACATATATGAGTTAATGCGATTGATTATGCGTTTTGTACTTTCTCTCTAATATATAATGTATATACATATATGTCAGTACTTGCTGCAGATTGCATGCTTAAAATTAATAGATGAAAGTAATATTTTCAATCATTTATAATTAATTTCTTCAAATTGTTAAGTGCACGTAAATGTGCTTTTTGTTTCATATTCGATAAATATGATGTACATTTTGCGTAAAGAACACACAAATATATTTTTAAAAAACTGCATACTGCCATTGTTCACTATTTTCTGATTTCTAAACTTTCATATATTATTCATACATTATACATATATGTATTATTTAATTTTCAATTTTTTTCAATTATTATCTTTCTTATTTTTTTAAATATTTTTGTCTTTATAATGCATTTGCGTTATATATATATTATCGCTGTCATTCGAAAAATATTTTTCTATAATTTCGTAATTTAGAAGAAATTCTTACTTTCCATATATTCTCTTTGTTTAATTTGATAAAATAATATTATAATATTTCATAATCTAATATTTCCAAAATAATAATATTTCATATATTGTTGTTTAATTTGATAATTGATATTTATTAAAACGCGTCAATAAACGAAGTCGATAAACTTTCATCGAAACGATTAAGTCATACGGAAAAAATCCAGTTTGTATCTGATGCTTTTCCGAAATTCCCGTCCGAGTTCGTCTTATGTAAGTGCGTTTGTCCATTATGCGTACACGTATGAATAAATAAATGCCAATAATGCGTAAGAGAGCGAGAGAGAAGAAGAGAAAAAAAGAAACAAAAACGCGGAGGTGTTTTCAAGGACAAATGTCCTTTTGTCCGAGCACTTATTTACAAGCTAGATTGAGAAGTGCAAAAAATGTTATATTATAAAATATTTAACTATTATATATGTTGTGTGTATTGTAAAAAATTATATAATATATATATGCACAAATAGAGGTATTAATTGATGAAGAATTTATAATTCTATACCTAGATATGAGACTATACAGATTGATAAATCTTTTTTTGTACAAATTAAAATATTAAATATAAGAGTTTTAACAAGGCTCTGTAATATAAATATAAATTTAACGTATAAGACGGGCAACAAGAGCCAAATCGCGGATGACAATGCGTTATCCTAACGAAACTAAATCATTTTTCGTTAGAATTAAATACCGGTGCACAAGGCACCAAATTTTTACTTGGACACGGCCAAGATTTTAAATATGAAATAATCTCATATTTTGAGATTTAATTTCAATACCCCTTTAACCCCCCTACGGAAAATAAATAAATGAATAACAGAGAAAAGTATAGAATCGAAAGGATCTGAATAGCTCAGCTGGAAGAGCAGTCGCCCGGCAAGCGAAAGGTCTCGGGTTCGATTCCCGATTCAGCGATTTTCGGATCTATATTTTTCTCTTGCATTCATTTATTTATTTTCCGTAGGGGGGTAAAGGGTATTGAAATTAAATCTCAAATATGAGATTATTTCATATTTAAAATCTTGGCCGTGTCCAAGTAAAAATATTTAATTCTAACGAAAAATGATTTAAGGATAACGCATTGTCATCCGCGAATACGTTAAAGAAAAAGATATGGAAAGAGAAAAGTATAGAATCGAAAGGATCTGAATAGCTCAGCTGGAAGAGCAGTCGCCCGGCAAGCGAAAGGTCTCGGGTTCGATTCCCGATTCAGCGATTTTCGGATCTATATTTTTCTCTTGCATTCATTTATTTATTTTCCGTAGGGGGGTTAAAGGGGTATTGAAATTAAATCTCAAAATATGTGATTATTTCATATTTAAAATCTTGGCCGTGTCCAAGTAAAAATTTGGTGCCTTGTGCACCGGTATTTAATTCTAACGAAAAATGATTTAGTTTCGTTAGGATAACGCATTGTCATCCGCGATTTGGCTCTTGTTGCCCGTCTTATACGTTAAATTTAAAATATTAATATTAATAAATTGTGAAGTGCTCTAATTTCAAGTAAAAAACAATCCGTATAGCCAATAAATATAAATTTATAGTTGAATCTAACCTCACATATATTTTGTCGATAAAACAGAACTAAAACTCAAAAGACATTTAGGATTCCTTTAAGTACGTTAGTAAAAAATATTTTATGCAATCGAAAATTGTCTTATGCACATTATATATTATTTAATAAAATAAAATGATCTACCGTCAGGGGCCGGTGATACGCACATTGTTGCTGACGACGTAGGCGAAAATAGTCTTTTGGTTTGTGGAGAGGTAAGGGGCTTGAACTCTCATAAAAAAGTAAGATAATATAATTTCCTTATATAG